ACATAGGAGTGGTCCATAAGCACCCTCTGTACACCCAAGCTGTCAGGGAAATACAAACCGAAACCACAGGGAGACGGCGCGCCACAGCCAGAACGGCTGTGCGAGAAAGATAGATACGGAGAGCCAGCAAGGAAGTAAGCAAGACGAAAGCAGGGGTGTAAAACAGTGAAGCTGTCTGAGGAAACAGTTGGGTGGCTGGTAACGCAGAGTGACCCCTGACCCTGCAATTCCACTCCTAGGTGTCTACCCAAGAGAAGCAAAAGCATCGGCCACACGGAGGCTTGTAAGCGTTACTCACAACAGCCCCAAACCGGAAACAACCCAAATGTCCCCTACTCAGGAACAGATAAACAAAGCGTGGTGAGTCTCTGCAGTGGCTTTTCCTCTGTAATAAAAGGGTGCAGCGTGAGGTGCTGGGGACGGACCTCCAAACATGATGCAAAATCAAAGACACCAAACGACCACGTGCCACATGGTTCCAGTTACACGAAAGGCCCACAAAAGAAACTTACAGAGACAGAAGTGGGTGAGTGCTAGGGCTGGGGTGGGAGGACAGCGGGGCTGCCACTGATGATGGAAAGAACTGAGGGAATTCCAGCAGCAATGAACACGTTTAAAAGCTGCGTTGTGGTACGGTTGCATGACTTGAAGTTTAATCTTTTTTTGTTTGAGACGTTGTTTTGCTCTTGTTACCCAGGCTGGAGTGCAATGGCATGATCTCGGCTCACTGCAACCTCCGTCTCCTGGGTGGAAGCAATTCTCCTGCCTCAGCCTCCCAAGTAGCTGGGATTACAGGCGTGCGCCACCACACCCAGCTAATTTGGTATTTTTAGTAGAGACAGTGTTTCTCCATGTTGATCAGGCTGGTCTCGAACTCCCGACCTCAGGTGATCTGTCGCCTCGGCTTCCCAAAGTGCTGGGATTACAGGCATGAGTCACTGCACCCAGCCAGGAACCTAAGTTTACTAAAACCCACAGAACCATACAACTATAGTGGAGGAATCATGTGGGAGGGAAACTGTACTTCAGTAAAGCTGTTTGGCTTTTTTTAAGCTGACACCACAAATCAAAGGGTTAGACTGCTGTTGAGGGGAATGTGCCCATGACATGAAGAAAAATTAAGTGGGGCCCCACCTCAACACAATGCGCAAATAAAGAACAGCAAACGGCAGCGGACTCATAGCAGAGGCCTCCCATGCTGGGGCCGCCCAGGTCTGCCAGGTCCACTGTAACCCCCTGAAGAGTCACCAAGCCCATTCAAGGTAGGCAGTGCTGTTACCCCAATTATATGAAAAAGGAGACTGAGGCCAGAGGAGGAAGTCACTGTGCAGGGACAAGCTACACCCACAGCTGCGTCTCAAGCCAGCAGCGGGCGACGCAGGAGGCACTCTGACCGTGGGTGGGGATAGGTCCTAAATAAGACCCCTCAGCACAAATCACAGAGCAGAGGATGTCAGGACCCTGCCTCATAAAGGATGAACAACAGAGAAGCACTGCATGACCAGAAGCAAGAAAGGCACTGTTCAGAGGACATGGCAGCCCCAGCGAGCCTGAAGGATGAAGCCAGGGCAAGCACAAGGAGAATCCCAGGTGACTCAGCAATCAGCTCAAACTGGGGAGCTGAAACCCAGGACCCAGCCAGGGCCCTCCCTCTCTCGGCAGCTCCCGGCGGACAGGCACCAACCACATGCAGGGCATGGAGAAACCAGCAGCGTGGAGGCTCACGGAGCAGGCACTGCAGATGTGAGAGGGCCCAAGGTGTGCGGGAGCTCTCAGCGCAGAGTTGGGGTGAAGTCGCTGTTGCCCTGCACACGTGCACATGACGCTCCCAGCCCTGGGCGCTAGCAGCAGCGACACCCCACAGCTGCAACTAGCACGCACAGCGCCCAGACCCTGAGTCCTAAACACACCCAAAAGGAGCCAGGGCACTCTGCAGGAGCGGCTGACCCACCCACCCAGAGCTGCCGGAAGCAGCACCCAGACCCTGAGTCCTAAACACACCCAGAAGG